GAGTTTATGGTAAATTTATTATCGAGGCATTTTAATTTATAGCCTTGTATAATGTGACAGGAATAATCTCTTTCCAACAGAGGTAAAGAAAGTTACTGTAGTAGTATCCAATCGGTATGTTTAATACTCTTCTGTTTTGATGACTACTTGCTCAGTTAAATAATGTCAGGCGTTGTAGATTTCATTAACAATAACAAAGAGTTTCTATAGGATAGATTCCATGAATGTGCAGTCCTTGCAAGATTCCAGTCACTCAATTTCCAAACAGTTTGATGTTGGATGTTATCATACTGTCAACATAAGGAAAGTTGCACCAAAGCGTGCTTCATTTCCTTGATTGTAGTCAGCACATACTGTTCTTGTCGAGTCGATCACTTCAAATATTGTAGGACCTGGATTTTCCTTCACATCATTTGCTTGCTTTATAATCAATGGAATATAAGTATTGTAGAATGTCATTTGTATGAACCAAAATTTCACTTCGTTCCTCATTTTGTATTGCCCAACCACTTGCTTCAACGTTGGTAAGTAAAACACATTTAAATACAACATCATAAACGTTATGTTCCAAAATCGTCCTATCAGACGCGATAAAACAGCCTTTGTCCTAACAAAGCTGTCATGACTGCCAATCCTTGACCGATATTGTTCAATTGAGATGGACCCCATGATATAACGTCGAACAATCGAGATGTGAGCGAAATTTCCTATCCATTATTCTTTTCTCAGCGTCTATTTCGGGCTCTATCAGTGAATTTTCAGGAGCTATGTCAGTGCTATAAAGTGATCCCTCAGTGAGGATCAAGCCGAGTAAACAACATTGGCTTGCGTAGGCGTAAAAGCCTCTTTTGAACTGAAGGGCAAAAATGCACAGGCCGCACTGACTTCGTGCTATTAAGGCTATGCTGGTTAGCTCGACTCCAAGAATCGCTGTAATGACGAGAAACTGTAGCAACAGCTGAGAATAGTAAGATTATATATTAAAAAACACTAACAACTTTCGCAGAGGAATTTCGAGCCTATCGCCGAAATTCAGAAGGCTTCACACTTACTTTACAGTCGCTAACAAATTTACGCTTAACTACGATGGTTAAAAATTTTGGTATGCTAAAGCAAAAAATAAAGAACAGCTAAAGAATGAAACTTACCTTCGAAACACCAACAATGTATACTGGAAACAAAAACGCAGAACTTGCACAGTGTACGCATGAGACAGCCCCAAAATGGCCGATTTACGACGCGGATTCACACGCGCATACCAGTCCCCTCCCCTGACAAATATTTTCGTACTGATTCCTACCACCACCGGGTGCGGCCAATACACAATTCCTCCCAGATGACCTTGCGATCCCGACACGCAGACAAATAAACCCCGCCGATGATAGCATAGTGGAGGCTGAAGCCCCCACAAAAAACACAGCCGAATTTATACCTCGGGCGTTTCCTTCGGAACGCTCGAGTAATTATATTTACCTGTGCACTTTTCATTCTGTTCTCATGTTCTTGTCATTTTCATAACCTTTCTCCCTCAAGGTTGTTGTTAAGTGCTTGGCTCTGCATTCGGAAGGGATCAGGTCTTCTCCAAAAGAAAGGGGGTTTTTCCTGACAGGTAGCAGGCACGCTAGATTATCATGCAGCTGTTGCACGCATATTTCATGTATCATGTTTGACGTTACAATCAATAAATTGGGTCTGTTGCTCACTGGAAGCCGGACTCTATCCGTGTGGAGCCTCTAATCTTGTGCAGCAGCAAGTATCCTATTTACCAGTGAAAAGTTGTTGTTTATTGTCTGATTGAGGGTATAGGGTAAACTTGTTATTTAATAGCGGGCGAGTTTCGCAAATATTTCTTGAGTACAAATATCGCGTGATATTTTCCCGCTCAAGATTGCCCGCGTCGATCCCGCTGAAGAAAAAAATAGAATTAGAGCTACTTTCCCATCGTGTCGGAGATGCAAAAGTAACAAGCGGCAGAAGATAGTCAAAACCAAGGAAACAGAAACGATTCTCGTGAGTTTGTTGTGCTACAAACGCAGTTGGCTTTCTTTTCCGGCTCTCGAAGTAAAAATGCGAATAAAGGACTCGGCCAATATTCAGCCATCTTGACCTCACACTTGGTCAATAACGCATGTCTGAAGTACTCAGGTGTTTCTATAGACTGTCAACTGACTTATCATCATCATATTGATTACGTAAGTAGCAAACTTAGTAAAAATCTGAATATCTTAACAAAGTGACCCTCACCTAACGATCAACACCCTTTGAAGTATTTATTATTCTCTTATTTATCCGTATCTTACCTATAGTTGTGCACTCTGGGGAAAGAATTATTATGCTTCACTTTCTCAAGTAGTGAAATTACAAAGCAAAGCAGTTTGCATAATAAATGATGTTCCTCCAATGGACCGATCACTCAACGTTATACCGCTTTGGGTCTTTTGAAAGTTCCTGACATTGTAAAACTAAATACATCTTTACTTCTGAATGACTATTTTAACGCTGACAAACATTTAACCTTAGATATCTCGTTCGTGTCCGAGCTGCATGACTATGATACTCGAAGTGTATCCCACAACCTTCTGTCAATTCCTTCTTTTCGAGCAAATCTCAGAATGTTTAGTCCAACAATTATAGGTACTAGGCATATACGGAACGATATTCTTAAAAAAAAAAGAAGAAAAACAATACCTTTTTTGTTATTTTACGAAGGTGAAGCAAAGACTTTGGAGACTTTGCAAAGTTTTTGAAAACGGAGTATGTGTGTATTTATATTTTGTTATCATTTGTGGTATTTTATTGAATTGTATTTCTTTTTCTTTTTGTATTCATTGATTGTAACTTAAGATATATTTATTTTTCCTTAACAATTTAAACAGTTTTAAAAAGTGAAGCATATCAAGGCCTTTAGAGAGTCCTTCCAATATGCTGGAATTGTGGACTTAGAAACAGCTGTGAAAGAGATTAACTTCGTGTGTAGGTGTAGAGTTTCAGTGACTACAGCGAGTCACTTTAAAAGCTGCTTTCCTTCTACTGCATTGCCCATAGTTTGATTTGGTGTTTTCTTAGTTACTAGGGATTCTTCAATAGATGAATAGCTTGATAAATGAAACAATGCATTATAAAATGGAAGAATCTTAAAGGGTCAACTCCAGCTATGAATATGATGTAATCCTGCGTTTCTATGACGTTACCATCACTGAGCGCCTCTGCGACTAAGATTTATAAGATACTTCACGGAAAGTATTTCCATATGGTATTCACGCTCCATTTTGGTAGGACCGGAGATCGAACAAGTGATTTCTGATTCATACCAGCGAGTTACATTATTTAATTTAGTTTACCCAATTTCTCATACAAACCGACGAGTTTAGTTATTTAACATCACTGTTCAAATTCAGTAATTTCGGGGATCGAAACTGTTCATTCCTTCCAACCGGGTTTACTGGGAAAATACGCCCCAAATCGGAGAAAACAATATTTTAGGTCTTTTTCAAGCGACTCGGTGCGATTAAGATGTATATGAGCCATGAAAGCCTTAAAATTTGCATTGGAAATAGAATTTGAAACCGGCGTCAAATGGTAAGGTGTCGTACGTGCCCAATTTGCTTCACCTAAACTGTCAATCAGAATACTGTTCTTGTTTGCTGTTCAATCAAAAAAGAAAGTACATTTGCATTTAGACTTGATTTGGTAATGGCCATCGTGGGGAGTGTAGCAACTGGAATTTGTATTTCTAATTATTGTCAAGCAACTGCAAAATCGTTTATATTGTTTTATTTCTACCGTATTACCGAAACGTTCTGTTTCTGTTCAATTAAGTTCGCGTTTTTGCTTGAGGTTATGTAAGAATTACGTAACTCTGGTAGCTGCAGTGTGTAGAGAACGAGAGACAATACCTGTAAAAAGCAACGGATTTCAATACGGACAAAACCACCATTCTGTCATCGTTAACTGAACTCACGCTTGGCTACCGCGTCTAGGCTTGGTAGCCATGTATTTTCGCCAGTGTGCACACTGTTTTCGTTAGTCAATTTTCATGCTGGTTGATTTCAAATAAGTCGGTCATTTCGTTATTTTTTTTTTAGCGCCGTGTTGCTTTTATTTAAGAGTTCTTTTTTCGCCGTTCTTTAGACTGGACGATGTTTACGTTGGTAGGCTAGCGAGTAAGACCGGAATAAATGTCACGAACAACAAAAGTTTTGAATCATGACATCCTCCTTAATTTTAATAAATGTGTTTCGACGAAGGATGCTTAATTAAGGCATGTCAGGATATTGCTGGTCGTAGACGTGGGCAATATTGCATTTCTGACCTCACAAAGCCATAGATAATGTAATGAAGTTGGTCATTTTCCATTTTCCATTCGCTTACTTCTGTTACATAAAAGGCAGACACACTTAGTTTTCTTATACAGCCCTCGTGAAAAGTGACTGATTTTGGAACCGACGAGAATGGTTTGGTTCTGACAGTCAAATTTCATTCAGCTTTGAGCGCTAACGCGATAAATTCCTCGGTCACCAAATCAGGGAGTTTTCCCGTGGAATAGTTTCCGTATGGCGTTTGCGAGTCCTTTTTGCTCCTCTCGACTTTAGTTCATTTTTCGATGAGTCGCCTTTAATACCATACATACAATTCGCAGAAGTTTCTACCTTATGTGTCTGTTGATCGAGTTTTTCACCTTTTCCTTCTTGTCTAGTTGGATCTCCGACTGGGTCGGTGACAAAACCAGATAAAAACTCATCGTTTCCTGACACCACAAAGCTGTTTCGTCTTTCTCTTTGAACATTATCTGACAAACTCTCGAGCGCAAAGCATGAATTAATGAACTAATGAATTTTGCGCTATAGAAATAATAAAATTATTAAATTATTATACGAAAAAATCCTTAGTCTTTATGCTTTCCACTTTTGCTCGAACAGCCAACAACAATGCATAAAACCATCCCTTCTTTCTCACATGAACTCTTCGTTAGATACGGTTTGTTTACGCTCGAGGGACACCAAGATGGCGGATAGTAACCGTTGCTAAGGTATTGGTCACGTGGGTGAAACCCAAGGATAGACGGCATTCAAAGACCAATGAAAGCCGACTATAACCGCAGCAAATAAGTACGGATATCAAAGAACCTTTCTACCGGAAAACATTTGAAATTGCCCATATTCCCGGAGAGAAATTCAAACGAGAGTTGTGGAAAGTGTAAACAAAGCACCCTTTAGGGCCAAATCAGCACACGGAAGACCACAGTGACGCATGCGCACACGAAATGCCCTCGACCCGTCGACTTAATTTGCATATTCGGCTGCGCTGTAGTCAATAACCTCTTCAGTTAGCTTCTTGGCAACGGAAAACAATGATCAGAAAACGGGTAAAAAAGACTTTGTGGATTTTAGTCCTTTTGCTGACAGCTTGTGTATCTTTTCAGCTAGGTTTTATATGGAACACGGGTTCTTTCTTGCCAGACATCGTTCGTGAAGAAGCAGCTGAAGAATTAGATGACGGTAGACATTTGCAGCTGAAAATTGATCCTTCAAACTCTAATGCAAAACCCTCAAGCTCCACAACAACTCCTACTTCTCAAATGTGTCACAAAACATTTCTTATAACCAGGAGATCTTGTATGCAACATTACGATCTTCTAATAATTATCTCATCTGCTCCCGGTGATCACAAAAGAAGGAATAACATTCGCAAGACATGGGCTTTCGAAAGAGCCTTCAGACCACGATGGACAACAGTTTTTCTGGTCGCTCAAACACGGGAAGAAGGAGTGTCAAACTTGTTGCTAGAGGAAGATGAAACTCATAAAGACCTTGTGCGTGCAAACTATTACGACCACTACTGGAATCAAACCCGAAAGATACAAATGGGCTTCGAATGGGCCGTAAGGTATTGCAATTTCTCGTTTCTTTTGAAGATAGATGACGACGTGTTTGTGGATATTCCAAGAGTCCTCTTCTTCTTAAGAGCGACCACCACGCCGAAGAAAAAGCTTTACGCTGGCTGTCATTATGCGAACATGGGCCCTCATAGGAAAGGTAAATGGATGGTTACTTACGAGGAATATAACGAGACGAGATATCCGGATTTTTGTCCTGGCTTTGGATATATTTTATCGCACGATGTTGTAACTGCTTTTGTTGACACGTTCTCTTATTTGCCGTTCTTTCGACTGGACGATGTTTACGTTGGCATGCTAGCGAGTAAGAACGGGATAAGTATTACAAATCATAAAGGTTTTGAAGTGAGGCATCCACGTGGATCTGTTTGTGTTCCAACAAAGAATACTTTAGTAAGACATGATGTTGGAGAAGAGTGCCAACTGAAGATGTTTAATTCACCCACTTCCCATGGGTAGTTCAATGGCGTGGTTAATACATACGGTTTTATCCGTTACCTGTTTTAGCGTAGCTTATTTAGAGCTTTTTAATTTTGAATGTGTCTATCTTTAAAAGACAAATGTTAAAATTAGGGTACTGAATGTCACAATATTTACTCAAAATGAGATTGAGTGTCAGAGCAAGTCATATATCTGTCGATATTAGCAGCAGATACCGAGGGACGTCTGTCGCAGTTTGCGTTAGAGCATCTCAAGCGTGTCGCTGATTTTGATGCTGCTCGCGTTCTCTTCGAATGAATCTCTCTCCAACTTATGCTATTTGGGTTTAAGGGTATTTGATGCTACAATATTTTACCGGTATAAGTTATCCTGAGTGCAGCTATTCAGAGCATTTCTTTTATCAAATTTTGGATGAACACGCGCCTGTGAAACTTTTCGCATAAAGGGGAAGCCAAACCCTTATATTACAGACGAAATCCACGAGCTTATGGCTACTAGAGATAACTGGAAACGTGAATTCAAGCGAACAAAAGATCCTCTTGCTTGGTGCGCATACAAAAAATTCCCGCCGCAAAGTTACGAGAGAAATCCGAATGGCGCAAAAGGAGTTCGTTTCACAGCAAATTCAAGACAACAAGAATAATAGTAACACCATGTGGAAGGCAATTCGTAGTTGTATTCCAAAAAAATCTCAATCAAAGACGACTTTTTCAAAGGACAGTGAAGTTGTTGCTAATGAATTTAATAATTTTTTGGCATCCGTGGGCAAGGACACAGCCGAGAAAGTCAATTCAATGGCAGAGCAATTCAAGCATGACATTAATGACAATAGCAACGTCTTTGTCCCTAAAGAATATCCGGCGTTAGAACAATTTTCATTTAATGATAGTGTGAGTTGTGATCAAGTGGAACTTGTTATTTCCTCTATGTCATCAAATAAAGCTCCTGGAATCGACAAAATTCCGATGTATGTTACCAAAGATTGCCTACCATCCATATTGCCATCAGCGTCACTTCAATTGTTAATGCCACATTCAAATCATCTCAGTTTGCCATCGACTGGAAAAAGCTGAAGTTGTTCCTATTTTAAAGGACGGTGACCCAGAAATTCCAAGTTATAATCGGCCTATCTCGCTTTTGCCAATAGTATCTAAAGTTTGCGAGAGGGCCACCCATGACCAACTCACTTCATATTTGTCGATTAATCAACGACTGAGCTCTAAAAAAATGGGTAATACGAAATGGATCTCAACTGAAACTTCTGTTATCCTTACAACTGATTCCATATTGGAATGTATTGACAAAAAGAAACTTTCTGCAATTGTTCTACTCGATTTCAGTAAAGCCTTTGATTCCATCAACCACAATGTTCTTATGGCAAAGCTACAGGACGTTGGGCTTTCGGCCCAAGCCATTAAGTGGTTCAACAGCTATCTGTCTCCTCGATACCAAACCGTTAGGATTGACTCTGCCTACTCTGACTTCCTACCACTGTCCTGCGGTGTGCCCCAGGGGAGTAGTCTGGGTCCACTTCTCTTCAATATCTATATTAACGACCTTCCAAGTATTGCCACATCTTGTAGCACTCAATGCTATGTGGATGATACTAAACTACTCTTGACGTTCAGCCTTGACAATAAAGAAAATGCCATCTGCAAGCTTAATGATGACCTAAGTAAAATATCTAACTGGACATTTGTGAACTTTTCTTTTATTAAATCCCGAAAAATCCAATCTTGTCATCTTTGGAAGTATAGAGAGCAATGACAGCCAAAGTTGGAGACTTCCGTCTAACACTCTTGGGAAAAGAGCTCCTGCCTGTCGATTGTGCCAAGGACTTGGGAGTGATGCTTGACTCAAACCTTACATACAGAGATCATGTGGAGTCAACAGTTGCTAGTTGCATGTCCAGGCTGGGACAAATGAACCGTGTGAAGCATGCATTGAACAAAGATACATAAAAAATCCTGATAAATGCATTAGTTTTCAGCAAACTGTATTAATGCTCCGACGTGTGGTGTAACACCACTGAAAATAATTTAAATAGAATCCAAACGGTACAAAATTTCGCTGGCCGTATTTTATGCGACAAAAAGAAATACGACCATATTACACCAATTCTTAAACAATTGCACTGGATACCAATAAGAAAACAACTGTACTACCGTAATGCAATTCTGGCTTTCAAATGCATGACTGGGTGCGCGCCTGAGGCCCTGACTTCACTTTTTGTTCAAAGATCAAAAATCTCAACACGTTCGACAAGGAACTCACAGAAGCTACAGATCCCACTTTGTAAGACAGCAACCGGTCAAAGATCTTTCCACTATAGAACTGTTAGCCTTTGGAACGGTCTGGATACAGAACTGAAACTTGTTGCGAACATTGATATGTTTAAAAGAAAACTCCAAATCTTTGCTTGTTTCTGAATTTTTGAAATCTGAGTAGTACTTCTGATTAGAATATCTATTTTTTTTAAACCAATCGTGTACATATGTTTTTATATATATTTTTAGATTATATTATATTAGATGTTGTGATTAATTAATTTTATTTGAATGTATAGTCAGTAATTTATATATTGTTCCTGAAAAGCCCCATTGGGGAGGCGACAATAAAGTATCTATGTATGTATGTATGTATGTATTTTGAATAATCTAAAAAAACAGAACTAGGGCATTGAATGCTACAATATTTACCGATAATCAGGCTTGGTATTAGACAGGAAACAAATCAGTATTAATCTGGCCGAGATATCGCGTTGAAAGCAGCAGAACTCGGCAGATTTTGACCTTACATTCCGTAAAAGTTAGGCCATTTATTTTCCCTTTCACTTTAATTAAATGTAATTTGAAATATTCTGAATGTGTAGAAGTATTTTTTGTACGTATTTGTTGCGTATTCTATGGTTCTCGAGGATAAATGCAATCACTGTTTTTAAGAATGCAATTAGAGGGCTAGACCGGTTTTCAAGGAGATCAAATCTGATGTACGTCGTAGTTTGAAGCCTTTCAATGATTTGGATGACCGCTTTGATCCTTCTTTAACAGCTCGAACTAAACGCTCTTAAAAGTTCTCCAATGGTACACGTATTTACACAAATTTGAAGTGATAGTGTTTGAGACCGGTTATGGCCACAAAAATGCCTATTGTTGTGTTTAGGGTGTTGTGTTACAGAGCGTTACTACAGCAAGGACTTTTCCTATATATACTCGATCATGTTGTAAATCTACTTTCCTAAGTTAAAGAAAATAAAGTAATCGTAGGTATTGTATGGTAAATATACTATCTTGATCATTGCATGAAGGAGAGTTGACATTCAGAGCAATGAAAGGAGTCACTTGATCAAATATATATTCTACCTTGCGCAAGGCGACACACCGGTAGGCCGGAAAGGCTTTGGTAGGCCTGTGCGACTCTTACCATTTGCAAACGCTTTTAAGACCTCTTGTAAATCTTCTGCCCTCAAAGTTTAGCTCTTATCAGAATATATTTTGATGATTTTCCTTTCCAACGTGATAGTAAGGGTTGGCTTTATGGTGTCATTCCTGAGGTTTGGCAAACCCGGATGAGAATCAGTATAACAAAAGGCAATATTTTCTTCTGCGCGCGTGCTATTTTCTTTGTTTGTAAGTATACTTTTTTATCCCGGAGAAAGTAGCCCCAGAGATTCGTTTCTCAAAACCCTCATCAAGTTATCCTCTATTTTGTAAAACTCCGTACGCTTTTGTTAAACGTGGAGCGCGAGAAAGTCGTTCTTAGGAGGCGTATGGCTTCTCCGTTTAAGAATCCCGTATTTACGCTTGGTGGAAAAAAATTCGTGTATTGGAGGATCTCTGTCCCTTTGCAATGCGTTTGCGTGTCAATGGTCGATTCTCGTTAAATAATTCGCGTCTAGAAATGTAATTTCTGCATTTGATATTGTTCACAGAGCCATCGGGTGTGTGTAAAAGCTGCCATTTGTGTAGACTGGTACTTAGGCAGGACTGCAGTTTCGATTCTCTCTGAATCTCGTCAGTTACCTCCCAAGAACGAATTCATCACGGAGGAATGACAGGAGTCGCGCAGGTCCATAATTCTTTCGAAAGAACGGCAACAGATGGTAAATCCTGAGTACGCTCTACGTATATTCACGCTATCTCGCTGCCACCAAAGATGTTCACTCGACCGCATGCAAACGACTCAACTTTTGTTTTACGATCATGATGCAACGCAGTCAGAGTGCGCACACCTTGTAACTTACATTAAGAATAAAATTTGAAACCGGCGTCAAATGGTAATGTATCGTGCGTGTCCAATTTGCTTCACTTAAACTATCAATCAGAAAGTTGCTCTTGTTTGTTGTTCAATCAAGAAAAAAAGTAAATTTGCATCTGGACTTGATTTGCATAGATATGGCTTAATGCTTACTTCTACTCTTAATACCTCCCTACTAACTTTGTCACCGCAGGGAGTATCCAAAGTTCTATTCTTCTGCTCCGACTTTGGATATATATAATATCTGGCGACGTCGTAAGTGCATTTGTTGACAATTTCTCTTTTTTTGCTGTTTCAAGCTTTTGGACGAGATATTACTTACACTTGACAAAGCGTAAATTAAATCTACATAATGTACACTAGCAGAGGTGCTAAATAGGTAACACAATGCACCAGCCTCAGTGATCCAGCAGGAGAGATTTTACAATTGCAAAGTTTGCATATATGTCACTCTATGGAGACAAATGAAATTTAGCAAAAATGTCTCTTTATATATGTTACAGAAGCGAAAGATTTTGCAGTTAGTTAACTGCAAAATGTTCGTCCACACATATAAGGAAATCAGGTAATTCGCGATTAATTAACTGCAAAATATTTGTCTCAATATATTAGGGCATCAGTGACTTCGCCATTAATTAACTGCGAAATGTTCGTCTACAAATATAAGGAAATCAGGTACTTCGCGATTACTTAACTGCAAAATATTCGTCTCAATATATCAGGGCATCAGTAACTTCGCGATTAATTAAATGCGAAATGTTCGTCTACATATATGCAGAGATGTTTCATTGCAAATTTTCATAATTTCTCTATAGGTATAATTAATAACAAATTTTTTACTTACATTAATTCCCGTATCTTACCTATAGTTGTGCACTCTGGGGAAATAATTATAATGCTTCAATTTCTAAAGTAGTAAAATTACAAAGCAAAGCAGTTCGCATAAGAAATGATGTTCCTCTAATGGAACCAATTACTCCTCGTTAGACCGCTTGGGACTTTTGAAAGTTTGTGACATTGTAAAACTAATTACACATCTTTACTTCTGAATGACTATTTTAATGCTGACAAACATTTAAACTTAGAAATCTCGTTAGTGTCCGAGCTGCATGACTATGATACTCGAAGTGTATCCCACAACCTTTCGTACATTCCTTCTTTTAGTCGAGCAAATCGCAGAATATTTAGTCCAAAAATTCTAGGAAATCGATCAACAGACACATTAATCGCAAATCGCAGAAAACAATATTTTCGGTCTTTTTCAAGCGACTCGGTGCGGTTAAGATGTACATGAGCCATGAAAGCCTTAAAATTTGCATTTGAAATAAAATTGAAACCGGCGTGAAATGGTAACGTATCGTACGTGTCCAATTTGCTTCACCTAAACTGTCAATCAGAATACTGTTCTTGTTTGCTGTTCAATCAAAAAAGAAAGTAAATTTGCATTTGGACTTGATTTGGTAATGGCTGTCGCGGGGAATGTAGCAACGAGAATTTGTATTTTAATTATTGTCAAGCAACTGCAAATTGTTTATATTGTTTTATTTCTACCGTACTACCATTGTAATGTTCTGTTTGTATTCAGTTAAGTTCGCGTTTTGCGTGAGGTATGTAAGAATTACGTAACGCTGGTAGCCATGTCTAGAGAACGAGAGACAATATCTCTAAAAAGAAGCGGCTTTCAATACGGAAAAAACCGCCATTCTGTCATCGTTAACTGAACTCACGCTTGGCTACCGCGTCTAGGCTTGGTAACGACCCCTACAATACTCGGTACCAGTCTTATAAATGTATTTTCGCCAGTATGTACATTGCTTTCGTTAGTCAATTTTCATTGCTGGTTGATTTCATCTAAGTCGGTCGTTTCATTAGTTTTTTGCAAGCGCCGTGTTGCTTTTATTTAAGAGTTCTTTTTTTCGCCGTTCTTTAGACTGGACGATGTTTACGTTGGTAGGCTAGCGGGTAAGAACAGGATAAATGTCACGAACAACAAAAGTTTTGAATCATGGCATCCTCCTTAATTTGAATATATTTGTTTCGATGACGGATGCTTTATTAAGGCATGTCATGATATTGCTGGTCGTGCCCGTGGGCAATATTACAGTTCTGACCCTACAAAGCCCTAGATAATGTAATGCAGTTGGCTATTTTCCATTTTACATTCGCTTACTTCTGTTACAGAAAAGACAGAGAAACACTTAGTTATCTTATTCAGCCCTCGTAAAAAATGACTGATCTTGGAACCGACGAGAATGGATTGGTTCTCGCAGTCAAATCCTATTCAGCATTGAGCTCGAACGCGATAAATTCCGCGTTCACCAAATCAGGGAGTTTTCCCGTGGAATAGTTTCCGTATGGCGTTTGCGAGTCTTTTTTCCTCCTCTCGACTTTAGTTCATTTTTCGATGAGTCGCCTTTAATACCATACATACAATTCACAGAAGTTTCTACCTTATGTGTCTGTTGATCGAGTTTTTCACCTTTTCCTTCTTGTCTAGTTGGATCTCCGACTGGGTCGGTGACAAAACCAGATAAAAACTCATCGTTTCCTGACACCACAAAGCTGTTTCGTCTTTCTCTTTGAACATTATCTGACAAACTCTCGAGCGCAAAGCTTGATGACCTTGTCACTTTCCTCTTTGAGAATTTGTAGAGTCGCTTAATGAAATTTCCCCTCTGTGTGCTAGTTTCAACGATGTCGTCGAAACGATCAAAGTCTTCTGGAAATAGGTCCTACAGGATATAAGGAATAGCGTTAGTGTCTTGACAACTGCCTACCCTCCCTTCCCACATACCCCGCCAACACTGATTAACCCTAACTTGTTAGAATTTAACTGTTGTTGGATTAAGGTATTGTTACTATTGTCATTATTGTTGTGAGGTGAATTGGAAGTTGTTATTTTGAGACTTTTCCAGTTAAGCCTTTTGTTTTGTTAAGCCTTGCCTTTTGCGCCTACGTGTTTTTCTGGTAGATTTTTTTTTTTTTGGCTCAGTGCGCGGATTTCCTTATAACCATGTTAGACATTTTAATTGCTTCAGTGTTATGGTTGAGTATAATTAGTTTTATAGGTGGTCGTGTTGATTTGCGTTAGTAAAGATGACCTTGAGTTCTACCCACACTGAAGTGAAGATCAGTCTTGTTTGCGTGCGCGATTCCTGTGCACAGCTGTTAGCGCTCAATTGGTTCTTTGGCGCTCGACGAGTACCGTTCGGTGAGGGCCACTCAGGTCTTCCCTTTTTGCAAAATAAACGGATACACCATAGAAACTCTCACGGTCAGCTAACCCTAACATGTCTACGGTTTTCCTACTTAATACGTTGGTACTTCTCACTAGAGAGAAAAAAAGGAAGCGTCGCTGTGGTAGAAGGCTTTTGAAGGAGAATTAAAAAGAAAGTACAGAGTCCTAGTACCTCTGGTTAATTTGCTTAAGCGAGTTATACAACCCTTCGGTTAACTTCCACTCATATATAGCTCCTCGCTTATTCGAATAAAAGGACACTATTAATGGTGCATTACAGGCGCGTGGAACAAGGCTATGTATGGGCGAAAAACCAGTGCCGCATACTTGTTGTTTGGTTATGTAATAGACGAACGAAATCGCTTATAATGTGAATCAAATTAAGACTAATTAATGTATCGTACAGCTTCCAACACGAATTAAATTCTCTGAAAAATCGATTATTCCAATATCAAAATGTTCCACCAGGTATTAAATACGATATCGATACTGCCCCATTTTCTCCTTATAGCCTTTTAATTTTGGATTACCTCCCGGGAGTTCCGCAGTCCCCTTGTGTCAAAAATGTTTCTGAATCAAATGTCCTTTTACAAAATACACTGGGGTCATATTCATACACGCATACTCAGTTGAACTACTAGTATTTAGGGAAGAGTGCATTGCTTTTACTCGAAAAACCAAGGTCACGGTCTTGTTGACTGTAAAGCGATCTATCCGAATGAAAACGTAAATACCTTGCTCTTTCTCCATGAAACGATTCTGGAAAAGAAAGATGTGTTTTGTTTCTCTGGGGAAACATCTTTATAATTTGTTACCTACAATGAAAAGTAAATTCAATTACTAAACAAAAAAATTCTTTTTGTTTCCAGACTGGGTCTGGCCCTGTTTCGGTAGCAAAGGTTTGGGAAATTTTTTAAGAATCCCATCACTTCTTCTAAGACTTTTGCCTTGAGGTGTTCCTCGTAGAATTAGGAAAGATAGCATTTATACCTACGCACAATCAAATACAAATTAAAGAAATGATTTTATTCAAGGGGTAAAATTTTTAGGGTATTGGTCAAGTGGTAATTTTCTTATCGGAAAGTCATCCAAAACACTGCAAATACAACTAAAAATTAAGATACATTTAAACCAGCCATTCAGTTTAGCCTGGAATATCAGTAACCATCTTTTTGGTTCTTTGCCGTTTGAGAACGGTATCCCAATTCGAACCAAAGAAATTCTGCGTGTCCTATATATTTCCATTAACATGCTGTAAACTTGTCATGAACTTCCCACTTTCCGATGACTTTCAATGCCATCCTCATCTTACAAATGCATCCTTTGAAATCTTGAAGCGGTAAGCCGTCTACGAGTGTTCTAAGATCGCCTGTGAAAGGGCAAAAAGTATAAGCCACCACCTATACTTACCACGTAATGTTGCGAGCTTGTAAATTGTCGCTCAGGAGACGAATCTTCCCGGCCATTTGTGTCCGAGAGTGAATAAGAAGCATAAACCTTTGGTTGATGAGGACTAGGTAACGACTCCGTCGATTGTGTCATTCGGTAAACACGAGACCAAGGCAATAAGCTGCTTCTTGTTGCGTGACCTTTAACGTGCAAGTCTCCCAAAGAAGGGTCAAATCCTTGGGGAAGCCGACCGGCGTACTTTTGATCCGTATAGGCAACCCTTTTAGGGGTGTTGCTTCTGTCTCTTTCCATTCTAAGATTGCCATGATGATTCAGAGAAACACTGGCATCGACGCTATTCTTGTATAATAAATGTTGAGTTTGTATTGTATTTTCTTCTTCTAATAATTTGCGCTCGGAAGAAGCTTGACTGGATTGCTGATGAATCGAAGCTTGTTCGGAGCGACGGTCTCGTTCGATCGCTTTTCTCTCAAAGCGAACTCGTTTGAGGCTGTGGTTCCCACTCATTAAGCCATTCATACCCTCGGCCTAGAAAGAGGAACAATCAAAATAGCCCATTTCCGAATTACCCTTGGCCTCACTTTCAAAACGAGTCCTGGTGCTCATCCTTTCATATGATTATAAGTTTTCATTCACATGCAAATTCAACTCATTTTCACCAGAATGTTTGGGCACCAGGCCTCGCTTTGAAAAAGAGGCCAAAAGTAATTCGGAAATTGCCTATTGTGAATCAGCTCAAACATCAGATAAGCTTGAGAGCATGCGCAGTGGCCCTCATTATCATTAGTGCAGCAGGTGGCGCGCTGCTCTCTGCCTGCGGAAAGATTTGAGACCAGTCGGGGGTTCTGGCACTAATTAACAATTTTTTCACTGAAGTAGAGGTGAAAAGTGGTAGAGGTAAATATCCACGAGTTTCACCGACACTGAGGTAAATAACTTTTTTCTTATATACTACACAGACTCCAAAACTAGTTTAGATCTTTCAATATACCGAAAAATGGTTGCTTACGAAACTCTAGATGCGCGATTTTGTCTCATCGGCTGCTCGAAGGTGAATAATACTTGCTATTCACTTCCAACCTAGCCAATCAGCGCCCGCGAAAAGCACTATTCACTTGTATAGCATATATTGATAATAATTGTCAGTGCTAGTCCCCTGGCCGACCTCGCTGCTTTCTTTTTCACTGGGCCCCATCCTTTCGCAAGGAAGTGCCAGTTCCAAAGCACTTTTTATGTCGGGGTCTTCTCACAAGCTAACATCACCGAGATTGAAACGAGAGTTTACTCAGTCTTAACTCAGTTTATTAAATGAAAAATTGAACTGTTTTTCTTTTCTCTGGAAACGCCCCCCACTAATTATGTTTCCAACTTGTCTCGGGGAAGAAGATTGAAGGAAACGGCACAAAGGTCCGTTTGAATTGAGCCTGTTCCTAATCTCGTAACCAGGTCCTACCGTGTGACTGAAATGAAGTAATACAACCACCGCTTGCCCGTGGTAGGCATGAATACGAGACTAGCCTGTTCCAAGCGTTCATTTTGTAAATCTAAATACGATAATAAGCCGCGCTATAGTAGTGGGGGAGTGAAAATACTAAGGAGGCTTGGCTCGAGTCGCGTTCTTTATCCGACTCGCCTTAAACCTTTCTCACGTTTTCACTCTTCCGCCACTATCGCGCCGTCATTTGGTATTTCGTTCTGTTTTACTCACTGAACGCTCAGAAACATGCTTATTTGAATAAAGTAGCTATTATTGTGATAACTTGGATCTCACGCTAGTTTCAAAATATAGATTTTGCGGCGTCACTCATGGATTTGTCTGGCCTTTAATCGCATACAAAGTGTTCAAGGTTCTAAAACATAATTGAGTTCCATCTCAAAGGTTGCGGTTAGTTGTAACATAATACCTGACATAGGAAGTTTGCGCAAGCTTCATTTCCACTCTCTACAGCAACTTCGAATGGGGTTCTACCCAATCTGTCGCGAAGTTTGATTGCCACACCCCTGAGTAACAAGAGCAAATTGAAAAGAAAGATGTTCATATAAATATTTATTTGGAGATTGGAGGGTATACACCATGGTTACTATTGTTAATATATCGTTCGATAGCCGATAGATGTGTTGATCAATAATCGATCGGTAGTCGGCTGTCAATTGACTCACAATCGGGTGATGTATTAAGCGAGATGACGAGAAATTAGACGATCGTTGGGATACTATCGTTAGATTATCGGTAGAGTGTCGTTCGACCATTGGCCGACCACAGGCCGACTATCGGCCGACTGTGGACCAATTATCTACCGACTAGCGGCATTAAACTTACGGGTAACAATCGATCTCCATATGGATCGACTATTGACCGAAATATCTGACTTGGGTCAAGGTTGAACGGGAAAATATTTGCCGACAGTGAAGTCCTGTTCACGAGGTGGTCATGTAACATTTCGAATTTTAAGGCCGTTCACTCTGCAAAAGAAAATGATGACCAACAAAAAGATACTCACCCTCGAATAAGGAGTTTTACCACCTCTAGATGACCGTTTTGTGCAGCTACATGTAAAGGACTGGAGCCAAGTTTATTTGTCTCATTACCTAATCTGCTAATGTTACCCAGGAGCCACTCGACGCAGGAACGGCGGCCACAAGCTGCCGCTGAATAGAGAAAAAAAACAATGAATAAAATTAAAGATACCTTGACCATAAAAGTGTTAAGGCAGAGAAATTTTCTGCTATTTGTTGGAAATAGTCCTTGTTCGAAAAGTATAGACCCTAGGCTGGATGACTGGGTTTAACACACGAGGTCGAGGCTTGATGGTAAACTTCACTGGAAAAAAGCCATTGGAAACGTAAGACACCGACATAACCGGCACTTTCAAAAACAAATTAAACAAACCGAAAAAGAAAAAGGATTTTAAAGGTATCTCTAAAAAACATTGTAAAGTGTAGTTGTCCGCTTATGTAACTTTTACTACTGTCTACATGCGTAGATGAAAAGCACTCTGACATGAACTTTAATCATAGACTTGGCGACTTATCTATCTTTTTATGATAGAATTTAAGACTGATACCGTAATGTAAAGGCGTGTTCGCAGCCCTGTCCCGACCCAGCGCACTACAGCCAGCGGAGCTTAGCAGAAACACCAGGCAGCCCAAATGACCCTCAAGAGCCGCTGCATGGACAGCGGTCATACCATCTACAGACATCTCTCGGGAAAATGTCCCCGAGTGCTTTGCGAGCCATACCAAGCAGTTTAAATGACCCTCTTGGGCTAGAGATAGCAAATGAGAGTATAATTGATTGAAAAAGAAAGGAAAAATGTAATAAAGGAAGAGATAGATAGATAGATAGATAGATAGATAGATAGACAAACAGACAGACAGATAGGTAAATGGATAAATAAATCGATAAATGGATAAAAGATTGACAAGTAAATAGATCGGTAAATAAATAACTAGGTCGATTAATAGATAGTTGGAGAATTAGGTAAATGAAAATGAAAACAATCATTCGGAAGCCCCATTCTTTACTAAGCCATTTTCTCTAAAAAGCTTCCCCCGTCTCAACTTCAGATTCAGATAAGCCACCCTCTCTAACATGCCTCCCTCCAGGCGCGTAGCGTCCTCTACGCATACACGCACGTGCGTACTTGAAGTGACCAGAAAAATTTGAAAACAATGTTTTGTTTGCGCCAAGTTTGCTCAAAATAAGGGAAAGACGCCTTGTTCTTTGCCTGTATTCACACAGCTATTTCAAACAAGAAATAAAGAACGCAGTATTTTTCGCTCAGTTTACGTAGGTTTCTAGATCATATGTACTTCTGCGTACTTGAAAGAATGACCACGTTACGCGCCTGCCCTCCTCTGCCCCCCCTTCTGTCACCAATGAAAAACTGCATAATGGTCGTTATATCGATGTCCGTTTAAACCACGATAGCTCCTCTTACCTGAGAAATAAAGTGGTGTAACGCCATTGTTATCCTGTTGTGAGAATAACATTTGAAATCATTGTTACTGCTAAGATCGAGCGCATTCGTAACCTTATCTACCCGGAATCATTAATCATGAACAACATTAAAGAACGACTCTGGTTAAAAACTGTTAAAATTTCAGCTGACTTTTACAAACCGTTAAAGAGATGCTTTTAGAAGCCTTTCGGTGAATCCACTTGAGACATTCAAGATGGCCACCGGCGGCCGCGTAATGAGCTGGTACCGAGCCCTCAGCTGACCTTTACATGTAAAAAGAACTAAGAATGAACTAATACAAAGTAACAGAAAGGTTTACGTTACCCAAAATTCCTTCACCTCTAGTTGGTTGTATGAGAGACAGTCTGTTTAGGGCTTTGAAGATGGTAGGCTATCCAGCTTTAGCGATATGTGTATTCTTATGGTTATGATGAAAACGGATAAGATGGTAGTTGAAAGCCGAAATATGATTTAAAATGTGGAAAGCAGGTTTTGGAAATCCATCGTATTCGTGTAGGTATTCCCATCTAAGGCCCATTTTCTCTGACTTTCTCGAATTTACACTTAATACAGGAATCTGCCTCGTAATAATTATATCAACTGAAGTCTGTCGAGAATTGATGACTTTGTCATCTTGCTTAAACGCTGAGTTTCCCAAACTAAATGTTTACGGAAATTAGGTACTTTGTAAAAATATTCTGTCGTCTAAAATGATAAAGTTTTACCAGAATCCAAACGCTACGAGGAAGGTCTAGAGTTAAAAATTAAACGCGGTCTCTAAATTGCTAGCTTACTATGGTACTGAAAACGAATTAAACGTATACAAAACAGAACAGTATTTAGGTAAATAAAAACGCGTAACTAAATCAATGGTGCCTTTCGTGCGAGACCAACATATCGTTCTACCTGAAAACAGATACGTTACTTGGCATTTTCAAAGAAATATTTTACCTAGCTGTCAGGCTGCTTCCATGTTTAACGAGCCATTTTGCACACACTAGATAACCACGATAAATCGCATGGTGAATGTGACACAGTCCTTGCTGGTCCAGAACGTTTGGAGCGAATCTCCCAGCAGCGTACAGCGCTTTTAAGCGCTGCAAATGCTTTGCTTCGCGTGTAGCCGCCATCGGGATTATTTTAATACACTTTACCAAGGAAAAACGTCAGTGACGTCTTTAAAACAACAGTAAGCGTAATGAGTTGTCGTTTTACACTTCACTTTCTGGAACCTATCCTTCGTTGGATCCCGTAGTTATCTATCTTCATTTTTTTCCCAGAATAAATGGAGTGCTGTTTGGAATCCCTTTTTCTCGGATGAACGCTTTCCACGTGTTTGTGAAGCAACGCCATGCGATGGAACAACAAAAAAAAATCTTCAGATTTGGTATTTAAAAGTAAAACTTTTCTTGGGAGATGAACCTGATTTTACGATTTTTTTATTTTTTTTTCAGGCGGTATCGATAAAACAGAATAACAATGATGTTAAATAATTAAAGATGCTAAAAGAAGAAAACAATAAAAGTTTTACAAAACTAAAACCATGATATAGGATCTTTAGATATTTTTTTGTGTCCATTTGTCCTTTACATAAAATATTTACACAAATTGCGTCCATTCATAGAGCATCTACAGCCTATTAGCCGCAAGAGAGAAGTGCAGATGCTAATATCCTCACTATATCTGGTTCTGGAAGCTTTTTTTTGCGGAGCGCTTTTGAGTTGAGCTAAATCTTGTGATGCCAGTTGAAGAAAGTAATAAATTGTGCCTTGTAGGAGTGCGCTAGTGACGTCAGCAATCCAGAATGACGCAAGTAAACACGGTTGGAGATCTGGAAAGTGTGGAAAGCATGGAAATCCTTCCCGAACACACTTCAATTGTTTTTCATTTTCCTTTTTTTTAACCTACGAATGCAAGCTTTGTAAATCCAAAATTTAATTGCTTGTGTGATCGCTTTGGAGT